ACTTGATTTGAAATGGGTCGAGCATTGTGACGTAGCCTTCAGTTCGCATTCGGTTAGCAAAGAACAGTCCACCTGGGAAATACCATCATGCAGTCAGTTTGTCCCTATTTAGTTATCCAACTAGGCAAGGACCTTGTTCACGCCTGTGGCGCATTGGGAAAACATTGCTAGAATCCGTTTCAGAAGTCGTAACCTCACACTTTAACACAAATTGCACACAGTGCACACACGGAAAAGCCACAACTTTCTTCTTTTTGTGTGTGTGTGTGTGTGAACAATTATCACCAAAGTATATTTCAGCGGTTCTCAACCTGCCGGTCGCGACCCTTTGTGGGGATCAAACTACCTTTCATAGGGGTCGTCTAAGACCATCAAAAAACATATATTCATTGAAGTTAGGAAGGAGAATAATTGTTTAAGGGTCGCCACAACATGAGGGAACTGTATAAAAGGGTTAAGGCATTAGGAAGGCTGAGAGCCATTGGACTGTTTTTGATGTCTTTTGTCCATCGTTGACCTACAAAATTACCTATAAAAATACTGAAATTTATTTTTAAAAAAAAAACTTTTTTGATACAGCCAATGAATTCCTTGCCTTGAAATAAGAAAATTTGTACAGCAAAGATCAATACAAATGTTTGGAGAATGTGACATGAAAAGCAGGCATGAGACTGTTTATTTTTTTTTTTTTTTAACAAATGGGATTAGGGTGGTAGTCAGCGTTGGCTTACGGGTTGTGAACGTTATTTCATTATTTCAGTATACCTGTTTCAAGTCTGCTTCATTCGATTCGGCAGCAGACCACTTTTCTTTGTTCTGGACAGTGATATTAGCGTCAAACCGTTCAATAGCCATGGCCAACTACTACACCTAAAATTGTCCGCTAAGTCTACCCCAAATTTTTTTTTTTTTAAATCTTGGAGTGGTTAATGATCCTGACGGGGTAACACAAGAGCACATTATGACATTGGAAAAAGCAGTACCACAATAGCTAGACACAAACCTGCGGGGCCTAAAGTCTTTTTCGTCAGCCATTTCACACTGCGTCTGAGCCTTTTGACCCAACACATCCGATTTCAGCAAAACATTAGTAAGAATGCAGCAACAACAACTAGCAACGCAGCGCTACAATGTAAAGATCTGTAGTGAAATCAAGAGGTCGACCAAGGAGAATTGTGGATCGGTGACATTACAGAGCTTCTACATCATCACAGAACGACAATAGCTACTGCTGTCCATCAAGCAATGGATCGCAAACTGTTCCTCCCCACAACGCCTAACGGCAGAAGTTCAAATTCATGATGATGGTGATGATGAGTGATAAGTTGCTTTTTCAAGTCATGCTCGTTACTGAGCAGTGGGTCTATATCCCCCTCTCCCCAGCTTAATCCTGACATAGCTCTTCACGTACTGTTCTTAGATCTTTTAGTTGTGTTTGTTCTTCGGTCACAAAACAACTGGCTGCACATCAATGGGGACAGTGAGCAATTTTTGTTAAACATAATCTTTACTGAAAAGTTTCCCTTGAATATTTTCTTTGATACAAAATGTCATGGATAGTGAGCATACACTTGATCATGTCTCCAGGCTATGCCAGCGTAGTGGGTGATGAACAGGCAGACAGCTTGGCTGGATCTCCACCACTTTGTGGTGAACTGATACACCGACAAAGCCAGAACGGGTGTAAAGGCCCTTTGGAAACGAGCAACGGAATCAGTACAGAAACAAGATTATTTTTATTGCCCTGGAGAGAATAAGGCACACTGCGCTCACGCTAACAATCAGAGGAAAGGGCCAATACGGGGAACAATAAACCTAGATTTTTTTGTGACCGGTACCATCAGGTCTGGAACTATGCGCTGCCTAACTGAAGATGAGGACGGAGCACGCAAAATGGGAATGCCCAAGTGCTGGTGATGTTAATTTCTTGAATAAACTCAATTTTTGAGTACAGAAGAATCCCTCACCTTCATTTTGATTTTTGTCGGTCTTTACAATGCACTGATCCAGACGTTGAGGAAAATATCTTTTTTAAATTATGTTTATAAAACTGTCAGCATATTTAGACTAGGGCGCGTCGCGTAATAATTAATATATAATTGATCTTTGAAAAATATCTGATTTCGAGAATCGATCTGTGGTAACAATGTCAACCAACCCTAAGTTACTGAGATGAAACCGATTTCCAGTCCTTGTAAAAAAAAAAAAAAGCAGCTTTCCAACTGCCTGCTGGAACTAATTATAGCAGAGAATGGAAAATTAGATCGGTATAAATAGGAGAAAGAATAAAAGAAATAGAAATGCATTAAAATAGCTGTTTTCAAAGTATTATTTAACGATTACACAAAATAAATTTTTTAAACAAGGTAATGAATGAAATATTTGGGCATCTTGATAGTAGCACACGGACACACACAACCTTGATGTTATGAAATTAAATGATGATTTGGAAAATGAGATGGTGGTTTGGTGGGTGTGGGTGGTGGAATGCCTGGATGTT